CGCGGTTAGCTGCAAACTTTCGAGCTCCGTCGTGGCGCACAAACTTTACCTTCTTGTCGAACTGCGTCTGAACCATCGGGATATACTTCCGAATGCAGTCTTTGCTTTCTGACTTCGTGCGTAAGCAGAACCCCTTCATCCATGATCAACAGCAGATATTTGCTGCCGCCTAGTGAAACTTACTGCATGGGGCCACAGATGTTGAAGTGCAGCAATTCCAACGTGTCGTAGCTCGCTTGTCACAATTGTTTGAGCATGGATTTTTGGACCATTTTCCCTCGCTGGCATCCTCGGCATGTACCTGATTCACTTGACTTAAGAGGTACTCCCACATCTTTTTCATGTTTTGGAGACCATCTTGCGAAGCATGTCGACTGGAGCATGACCCATACTCGCATGCAAGTCAGCACCATTTGATTTGTCGCTGTATTTGCCGATGACGTGCCGTGCGAAGCCAGTAAAGTTCATCAACAAGATCTTCAGTCTCCATCACTTCATGCGAGTCCTTGTGAGCGACATACATCCTGGTCCCATCAAACACTACTTGAAACTTGCCATACTTGGTGATCTGGGGCACCGCGAGCAGATTTTTGCTCATGCTGGGCACATGCAAAGCGTTCTTGATTTGCATGTGCCTAGCATGAGCAAGAATCGAAATTTCACGCTTTTCACCATTTGACTGCACCACCTTCTCAATGATGGTTCCCACTTCCTTGATGGTCACCTTGTTACCATCAGCAACCAAAATTTCGCCACCATTTCAAACGACTAAACTAGAAAATTTAGTTCTGTCATGACAGATATGGTGAGTCTCACCACTGTCAACCGCCCACATTCCCGACAAATCCTTGTTTGTTAAAATTCCACATTCCAAAGAAAGTGCAGATGTCACTAGATCGTGGCTGTTGCCTTCATCATATTGTCTCCACTGGACCTTATTAGCCCCACGTCCGCAACCATTGCCGCCGCGTCGGGCTCCTCGGCCTTCCTTCTTCTGCTTCGTCCAACAGCGGTCCATCGTGTGCCCTACCTTGCCACAATACGTGCATTGGTAAGGCTCACGCTCGGTGACGAATGCCTTGGTTGCATCTTCAGCTTTCACCGTAGTCGCTGTTTTTTTTCACCTTCTTCCCTTGACGCTTGGCGCGCTCATTCGTCAGCACCTTCACCACTACGTGGGTACGCAGTTCTGTATTGCTCATCTCCAAGTTCAGAACCACGTTCTCAAAACTCTTCGGGAGACTGAACAACAAGCAGATCGCGATTTCTTTGTCTTCCATCTTGGCGCCAATGCTCAACACATCACTGCAGTGATGCAAGACGTTACCACCTTCAGCCACCTTCAGCCATCTTCATGCTTATCAGCTGACGCTTGAGGTAAATCCGTCTGGCCTTCTGATGTCCACCGTACAACGACTTAAGGCGTGACCACGCAACCCACGCTTCCTCACAGTCGTCAACCACATGTTAATGATTTGAATCCATGTAAAGCAACATCAAACCAAACGCAATGTTGCTCGTCTTGACGTAGTCGTCCTGCTCCCGTTGCTCCACAAACGTTGGAGAGTTCTCCCGGTTGATCACATGTCACACCGACTTGGTGAGAAACACAGCACGCATGTATCGACTCCAAGTCGCATAGTTGTCCCCATCGAATTTATCGATGGAGACGTTAGAGGATGCATGTGCGGCAGAATACATGGTACTCGGGCTCATAACCTGTTACGGGGAGAGCGCGGAGCGGAGAGACCGAAGAAAGAGCGGAGTGAAAGACACTTTCTCTCAAGTTGGAAGCTTCGAAAGTGATTGAGCCGAAGGTTATTCTAACTACAGCCTGATTCATATATAGTCCACATATAAAAAATATGTAGAGCTTTCTAGCAACCTACTCGTCCAATCACCATCACTCTGCACTCCATGGCATAATCCCTACCATGATCGTAAACCGCATTGGGCCGGTTCGAAGTTACCCAGGTCACGGTCAAAGGCCGCCGGTAAACCGGTTACCCTCAATAAACACCAAGCATTTCAATGTGCGATCAGGTCCTACTAGTCTGATTCGAAAAATGCCAAACGGGCTACTAGAAAGAACCGATTCATTTGAAAATTGTTCTCGTTGTGCACAAACATGCGTCATTTTCCATATATGCTTCTCTTTCTCTCTCCAATTGTCCTCCTCTTCTTCACAACTGGATCAAGGTGTTAGCATCTGCATTTATTAACCATATTCAAGCACGATATTGGCTCTGGATGGGCTATCACGTGGAAGCCATTTTGAACGATTTGCACTTTATTGGAAACTATACAATTTTGTGGTAATCCAAAGTATCACAACTGGTTGACTTATGTCCGTTTGCTTAACAAAAGAAACGATCGAGCGAACCAAGTGTCAATTCTTAAGAAGCTTACAGATGCTTATGGACTTTTGCCATTGCTGAAAGAGGCCGTAAGGGCCAAGGATATCAAAACTCATAAGATGATAGCAAAAGCTGTTAGAAACTATCGTTTTTGACAGGTTGAAAGGTGCTAAAGGCTAGAGCCATACCCTGTGTCTGGTGAGTTGCGACCGCATCTGATTGGCTAATGGTGTGACATCGTGACAAATGTGACGAGGCGACGACGTCGCTGCGTCGGACCATCTGGATGTTGTGACACATGAGACGATCGATGAGATTACCGCATCAGCTCACCAAGTGTTACAACAGATGGGACGAGGCGGGATAGACGAAGACTACAGACTAGGCATGGTATAGTTGCAGTTGATTTTATCATACATGTTAGAGCACTAGCGAAGGAGAATAGTTAATGCTAAATATATTTTACGTTTACTTCTACCTACTTGTGCACAAGTGCATCACTACTTCACTCCACTCTTACAAAGGCAGTATTGAACGACCAAAAGAACACTTGGAAAGAAAACCACAAGTCGATACTTGGCATCTTTCTTCTCCTCAAACTTTATGAGGCTGAAGATGGTATGTCTATGTATCCACTATTACTTACGTAGTACGACTACGTGTCTCTTCTCTACCAAGAGGATGCAGTTACGGAAATGGCTTCCGTGCTAACGAAGTACTACAGTGTCGAAAAGCTACGAAAGATTTTTGCTTTGCAGCCAAAGCTCGAAAGAATGCAAAGCATGTTGCAAGAATGAAAAAGCGGGGTTGGGGGTGTCAGTAAATAGCTCTTCATCAGGTACTTTTGGCCAAAACAATAAAAGGCTCAGTCAAAACTGCATCGGGCCGCTCCGTTGGGTCGCTCACATACTCACGAAGCCTTCCGGTACTACCGAAGACATGAGTCACACTGCTTCTATTCTTGTCATTTTGTAAATGCCGTTGCATCGACGCACGCAATGAAGAAGCATGGAGACCGTAAAGAAGTCAAAACAATACAAGTGAAAAAGACACACGATAGTATCTGTATTTTTGTATGCGCAAAGCAAAGATGTACGAGTTACTTGTACTCATTGTACATTTCCACGTATGTGCGATAGGCTATTGCGTTTGGATCCGTCGGTGGTGTCGTCTCCGTCAATTTCAACTTTGTCCAGATCGTTGCTGGGTCTTCACCATTTCGAAGCCTCTGTTCATGCTGCGCATTTTGAAGAAGCCTCGCAGTGTTCTTTGATTTGGGTATGCTTAACGCGATCTGAAACGTCCCGGATAGCTTTACCTCACTGTAAGACTTTTGTAAGTTCCTTGATCAGTGTTGCTTCCAGATCAGGGTGCTTCTCGTTATAATCAAGCACAAACTTGACCCAAGTAGCCAAGTCTGGACTAGTCAGAAGTTTATTTACATCGGTATCGAGTTCTAATTCCTTAAAACGTCTGTAAGGAGGGAAGGATACATACTGAACCCCATTTTTCAATTCATGCAAGAAGGTTTGCAGTTTGTGGATATTTCGCTGCGAAGCGAAATCTTTTGTATCTTTTCGACACTGTAGTACTTCGTTAGCACGGAAGCCATTTCCGTAGCTGCATCCTCTCGGTAGAAAAAGTCACGTATTCGTACCACGTAAGTAACAGTGGATACATAGACACACAATCTTCAGACTCATGAAGTTTAAGAAAAAGAAAGATGTCAAGTATCGACTTGTGTTCTTTGTTTAAGTGTCGATTTGGTCCCAAAATACTGCATTTGCCATCTTCTCTTGAATTTCGATATTCCTGGCCCTTTCGGCCTCTGCCAGCAATGGCAAAAGTCCATAAGCTTTTGTAAGCTTTTCAAGATTGACACTTGGTTTGCTTGATCGTTTCTTTTGTTAAACAAACGGACAAAGACCACCCACTTGAAGAACTCTAGATTAGCGAAAACATTGTATAGTTTCGTGTGAAGTGCAAAGCGTTCAAAAATGAAATCCACGTGATAACCCATCCAGAGCCAATATTGTGCTTGAATATGGTTAATAAATGCATCTGTGAACTCCTTGATCCATTCAAATAGCATACCATCAGATGGAGGAACAGGCAGCATTCGTTCTTCCAAATTGATCGTTTCTTCAAGTCTCCGAAGTCATTTCGTAGACATTTCAGATAGAAGCGTCAATGAATCAGGTCTGAAGTCGTTGATCGTTTTGTTTTCATTTACTACGTCAGTCGTGAAGAACAGGAGGACAATTGGGAGAGGAAAAAAAGCATATATGGAAAATAACGCATGGTTGTGCACAACTGGAACAATTTTCAAATGAATCGATTCTTTCTAGCGATACGTAAGACATTTTTCAGATCAGACTAGTAGAGACCTGATCGCACGTTGGAATGTTTGATGTTAAACAAAGCTTGATTTTGTGTCCACGTAGCAGCCCGATGCAGCTTTGACTGAGCCTTTTGTCGCTTTGGCTCAAAGAACCTGATGAAGAGTTACTTACTGACAAGGTCCTGTCACTCGTGGACAATATATATTGATAGTGAAGAATATTATACCCAGAATATCGACTGAGTAAAACTAAAAGGCGTCTAGTGTGGTATCCACCACATTCGTTTCTTGCCTTACGAAAAATGGAGCCGGCGTCCGAAATGGTGTCACAATGAGCTACTTCCGTCTCTGTTTTCCTCGCTTGATACTATTCAATGACATGTACACTCTTGCTACTATGTTTTATCGTATTTGTAGAGTCCAATTCTTCAAGAAAAACTAAATAATGTGCTGAAAAGGTCGGACAAGACGCGCTTTGCAACACTCCTATTTATTTGTTAGTCGCGGACTTGCTAACTCTTTTAGTGATAGGTACGACGCATTGGAAGCTATTCTTGTGTCAACGTCAGAGGGTGTTCCGCTGTTTAAAGGTGTGGACATTTAGTATCGAGACCTACAGCTATTATTGCCCATTCTAACGTTCATTAATTCTAACGTTATTGTGTTGCAGTGGTAGCCGAGGAAAAGTCCGACCTGTCGTACGAGTACACGGAAACGGTGCTTCCCACAGTCTTTGCTGGGGCAGCAGAGCAGGTAAAAACAAGCGTCAACGGCTATATCTGATGCGATTGAATTGACACGTTATTCGTTGACTTTTAATTCAGGTTGGGAAGCTGAAGTTTGGAGCTGTGCAAAGCGTCACGGCGTTTTTCGATGACGTTGTTCTGATCCATATAAACCATGCACCACTCGTGGTGACACTTGTCGCGCCCAACTCACCGCATATTGGCGCTCTACATGCTTTGGCGAGCGAACTACGTCCTGCGCTCACGCCGCTTAAGAGATGCGTGGAAAGCGCGGACGTGCGTTAGAATCTGGATCAAGCGCAACCCTCTTTGGTGATTTTTACATTCATGCAGATGTGTTAAAATACGAAGCAGCTAGAGAGCAGATTGCTGCCTGGTAATACTTTGTGTGTGTGCGTTGTATACGCTTCAAGTTTAACATTTCTGCCGAGTTCAATCGCGTCGGTAGAGTTAAGGTTGCTTTGATTCGGACCTAATTTTCCTTGAAGAAGTCGAAACCGTGATCTTTTTACCACTTACCAGCATCGCCTGCGGCTTACCAGAGTAGCTCGCAACGGTGATGGCAGCAGACAACTTCGTTTCATCGTGTTTAGCTTGTTTTTCAAGACCGATGTCTGCATCATGGGCAGTTTTTGTCACTGGAAGGTGTAGCCTTCTGCCGTTGCTCGGGCTGAGTGCTTTCCTTGTTTTGGTGCAACTATTCTCAGATGAAAGAAGGTTTGAGCGGCTATGCAGTCTCATTCTCGTTTTGGCATCGTCAAGCAAGTCGTCCTCGGCTATGAGCGGCATTTTCTCAATCATTCCTTCCAGCTCCAAAGCGTCCGCTGACAACTTCTTGCTACCAATGATGTCAAGCTTAATGCACTGCCATTCCACACGCACAAAGTTCCAAATGATACGACGTACAACTTCTGCTATCTGTAAGAATAATTTAAAATGGACACCGCGGTGCATCCAGTCCCACCACTTCGTCACCCACATAATGCGCAGCGCAAAGTCGACCACAATAATCAGATAATAAATCTTCTGCGGGCGGTACGTCAATTGATGCCGCAGGAAAAAAATCCGTCGAGGTAGCTTGGGCTGTCCCAGACCCCAATCCATGACGACATCCCAAATGAACGAGTAGAGCGAGTTAAACACGGCACAGAGGAGAAAAAAGCTGTTCTGCTTTGGCCGTGCCAATCCCATAAGCATCGGATAAGCTCCGACTGAAATCACCAGCAAGCTTGAGCAGTACTTCATCGTGTTGAGCAAGTGGAGAAACCGGTCGTCCACACTGACAGTGCGGCGAAATGAGATCATACATTGCGTCGCGCGGATTCTACACAAGAAACACCGCAACACACAACTTCTCGTCAGAACTTTTTTCTCCAATCTCCATGACCACTAAACCAGTACTTCACTCACATATATGGTGTACTCGCTGCAAAATAGGGCAGCGGTGAGTCCTTGAGTTTAGAAATATACGACTCCTTCAAGTCTTCGGGCTTGTTATAGGACGACATCAAGAGCAGCATGAGTGCTATGGACAGATCTTGGATAAATTTAGACAATGACGTCATGCCATCAGCAATAAACACTTCAACAAATGGTGTCGCATGAGTCGGAATCTTTAGTGAATAGTCCTGAAATGGCCACAAGCAGTGCGCTACCTTTCGCACAACAAACATACGAAACTTGTAGTGCAGTACGTCAAAAGGACAAAGCAGCAGTACAGCTGCCACAAGGACGTATCCAAGTAGTATCATCTCCATCCGTATCTCATCAACACCAAATTTATCGCCACGTCTTGCCACTTCTATATGAAACAATAAAAACTGCACAAAAAGTAGCAAAAGACCCGTCCGGAAGACACCACGCGCGGTCGGTACTTCGTCTGGCTGCATGTCCAAGACCCGATCAAAGGCCAAATTATATCGCTTAAAGACGTACAAATTGGTTGCTAATCCCATTATAAAGACGTTTACAGCCAGAGGTCCGCACACAAAGAACCACGTATTGACATGGTATGGCGCTGGGAGCTGTTCGTGCATTATATAACGAGACAACAAGAACCTGAGACCTCGGATCAGATCGAGGTCTACAAACTTACACATGATTGGACAATTCAAATACATAATGACGTTTGGATTGGATGAAAAAAAACTGTAATAAGGACGCCATGTACTTCTTTTTACTTGCCTTTTTTTGGGTACATTTAAACAACTACAAGAAGAAGACAAGACCCAATTTACGAAACAATTGGAAACTTTCTCTGTTTAGTTGCGCACGTGCACAGCGTCAGCTTTGGCAATAAGTTCAATCATGCTTGAATGAATGTCGCCCTTGTTATTAGACGCGACAATGTTGCGCGTACTGAGTGAAAAGGGTGTACCGTCACTATTCGTCACGTGTCCACCAGCCTCGGTGACCAGGAGTGCTCCAGCTGCAACATCCCACGAGTTAAGGTCGAGCTCGTAAAATGCCTGACAAAGAGACAAAGATGAATCATTTATTACTACATGTATCATCCATCTATGCAACAACAAAAACGACAGTGTTTTACAACGTACCGATTGACGTCCAACAGCTGTCCACGCAAGTTCCATAGCTGCAGCTCCTTGCAAACGCAGTCCTCGGCAATTGGCCGAAAGCTCCCGTGCAAAGTCAAGCATTGGTAGTCTCACAATGTCCTTCGTACCAATGCCAAATCCCACCAAGGCTTCTGAAAATGAAGCTTCGTGACTCACGTACACTGGATGACCATTCAAAAAGGTGCCTTTTCCTTTCTGGGCTGTAAAAAGCTCATCCCGGTACGGATCATAAACGACACCTACCACCACGTTACCTAAATGTGCGCATGCTATAGATACGACACTGGCTGGACGGTGATGTACAAAATTGGTAGTGCCATCGATTGGATCTACAATCCAAAGCCACTCCTTGTTCATCATGTCCTCCAATGCACGAACTGAGGCCTCACTGCCAGGTTCAACATTCTCCTCACCCAAGAATTCATGGCTTGGAAACGTGCTTTTAATGGTGGCAAATACGACGTCCTGACATTGTTTATCTACAATCGTCACAAGATCGTCCTTGGATGATTTTGTCTTCTCTATACGTGACGTACTTAATTGTGACTTCATGTGGACACCAGCAGCACGCGATGCTTCAATAGCAATGTGTAGTATTGCACTAATGCTGGTAGCAGAGGACGCAGTGACCATGGTTTCAATTTCTATCCTTATGCTCGCAGGCTGTCAGTTAATTAAGTACTGAGGATTTTTTAAGAATGACGTTTGGTGGGTTCTAATAATTAAGATCTTAAGTGCGATTTTGATGAAAATCAAGAGAGTTAACGCTGATGTTCTAAACTTCTAATTTACGAGCTTTAGACAATTGAGTCTCTGTCACATTCTTCTAGAAATATTCTAAGACGTTTCAAAAACGTGTCATGTGAAGGTGATGTTGCATAGAATTTATACCCTTGACGTCAGTCATACACTGCTGTCAATTGTAACACAAAAGTGTTAATATTAATGTCATAGATACTAGTCAATAACCGCCGAAAGAAAAATTTTTGGTCGTATCATACATTAATTCTAGTTAAAAGTTTATGCTTCGCTTGGATGCGCACTTGCAACTACGGAAATGATCGCATTTGAATCACTGCGATACTTCAAACAGGTCACGGCTAGCTCAACATCTCTTGTGCGCAGCAATCTAGGCGATAGAAATTTAAGCGCTTACAGGTCAGGAGAGGCGAGGAGCACCTCGTTTAGCTGGAAAATGGCTCAAACGACTATGGAGAAGCTCCGGTAAAAATTCAAGCGAGTTTCTAATTGAGAGAGATATCAATTCATTACATCCATCCATCACATGAAAAAAAAACGGTGTCGAATTAAGCAAGAGATGTCACTTGCAGGCAAGTCAGCTTTAGACTAGGCACAACTTTTGCGAGTACAGCACCACATCACTCCACGGTCTAAATGGCGGACTTGTTCGATAAGCTAGTTCATATACCGGCCACCGAACACATTTTGTCGGCGACAATACGCACCTCATGAAGCAGATACAATTAGACGAGGTCGTCCAGGCCATTACTTTGCCGAATCGTCACAGAGCGGCTGTAGCCGAGCTGCTATAGCCACGCTACTTATGCACTAAGTGCAGAGGAAAACAAGCTCCAAGAGCTTTGTACGTCTTAGAGTTCGTAACCCTCCCAAGGCTAGCTTCACACGCTTATGCCTTTTTGGTTGTAAACAACCACGTCACCAAGAGACTAGTATCAAGGATACTGATTCCTTAAAAGAAATAGAATGCTCAAGCATTGATGCTTGTAGAGCAGATTTGAAACTGATTTGTATCTATGTTTATCTTCCAACACTAAATATAGAAGCACACCTAACTTAGTGCTAGCCACTATTTACTGGCTCTATAGCCTGTTATTATTATGCAAACATGTATCGTCACTATACTTAACTAAGTGTAGTGACCACTTGGCTCTCTGCCACGATGCGACCCTTTGTACCTTAGGTACAGTCACATCGAGCCTACTCTTGTACCCAAGGTATAGCCACACCACATTGGTATGGCAGGCGTGTATGTACAATACACACCTTTGTGTAACCCCGTTGCACAATTGTTTAGTGAATACTTTATATCCAGGTTGTAGAACTGCAATAGGACAGTAGTCCATTGCGTCGTCGATGTCGCCTTTTTTGTAGCGGAATAATCAAACCTTTCAGAATGATTTGGGCGCCTTAATACCCTTGAGGAGCTCATTTCCTAAGGTAAATATCGCAAAAGCCATCACTGCTTAGATGTGTTTAAAAATTTCGTTGTTAGGTCGTCTACGCCTGCCGCTGTCACGGGGTTAAACAAAGGTATATATTGTACATACACTCCTGCCACACCATTGTGGTGTGGCTGTACCTTGGGTACAAGAGTAGGCTCGATGTGACTTTACCTAAGGTACAAAGGGTCGCATCGCGGCAGAGAGCCAAGTGGTCACTACACTTAGTTAAGTATAGTGACGATACATGTTTGCAGAATAATAACAGGCTATAGAGCCAGTAAATAGTGGCTAGCACTAAGTAAGGTAGGTGCTTCTATATTTAGTGTTGGAAGATAAACATAGACATAAATCAGTTTCAAATCTGCTCTACAAGCATCAATGCTTGAACATTCTATTTCTTTTAAGGAATCAGTATCCTTGATACTAGTCTCTTTTGAGACTCGGTTGTAACAACCGATAGGTACAAGCTTACGAGCTAGCCTGGGAGGGTCAAGCACCCTAAGACGTAGAAGCTGTCTGAACTTGTCTTCCTCTGCACATAGTGCATATGTATGTAGCTACAGTAGCTTGGCTACACCTGGTAGCACTTGTAGTCAATCTCGCACCTGGGTTTGCGACTACTTCTATGTGTGAGAATGGACATCGATGACATGCCAGCGGTTGGCTTGTCACAGGCACAACAGGAAGGGTTGCAGAAGCTGCTCCCTATCCTTGGCCCTAAGGGCGTGGAATACCTCATCGCCCAGGGCGAAGAAGAGGTTAACAAGCGTATTCATATGCTTGATGAATATAATAAAGCTCTAGTCGAGCATGTAAAGGCACAGATGTCTTCTTCTGCGCCTTCGCCCATGGCGACTATGGCGCAAGAAGTGGTCCGCATACCAAAACCCAAACAAATGGAGTCGATAAGTTCGACGGCAAAGAAGGTGACAGCCTTATGCTTTGGTTCCGACAGGTTGAGTCGGCTATGTTTTTAGCCGACATCACCTATGAGCCGTTTCGTGTGGGCTTTGCGACGAGCAAGTTAGGTGGCTTAGCCAAACAGTGGGCATCATGTGGTGCATCATTGCAAGATGCTTTTCCCACATGGACCGATCTGAAAGTACAGATGACCCGGCAGTATGCACCGCCAAACCAAGCACACCGTAATCGGTCGCGGTTTTTTGCGTGTCGCCAAGGCAAGCGTGAGCTTGCGGCATATGTGCAAGAGTTGAGAACTATCATTGCTGCCATGGTCATAGACCCTATGCCTGAGGCAGTGACCGTCACGGTCTTCATGGAGGGCCTCCGAGTTGGCGTTGCCAGAACGGAAGTCTTTCAGGTAAACCCGTCCTCATTCGAGGCAGCTGTTGGAGTGGCATGGAATGCCGAGACCAACTATAAGGCCGCTAGGCCTGCCACTGATAACTACTCGTCTGATGGGTCTGTCTGTACCCATGGACTGTAGTCAAGTGGAGGATGAAGAAGCTGAGCTTCAAGCTGCGGAGCAGCAATTTGTGCGCAGATGTTATATCTGCAAGAGCACAGACCATTTGATGGCAAAATGCTCTGCAAGAAAGGCATATTTGGCCTCGAAGGGCCGACGCCTCATGGGTAAACCTTCTGGTTTGCCGCGGGGAAACGGCGAAACCCAGTAGGCGCGGGGCGCCCTACTGGGAAAGAACTGAGTTTTGTTGAGCCTCTAGGAGATAGAATTAAAAAGGGCCCAGCCCCAAAGAGATCCGAGCTCTCAAAAACGAAACGAGAATGCAAGCCAGGCTTGCTAGTCGTCAAAGGGACGATTAAGGGCTATGATAAGCCATGGATCATTTTGATCGATTCGGGAGCATCGGGCAATTATGTGCGCCGTGACACCGTGGAAGGTAGTCAGCAGTATGCTGAAGCGCTTGTAGCGCGTGAAAGTGACACAGTCACAGCTCACTTAGCGACGGGTACGTGTGTTACGGTACCCAAAGTCCCGATGGACTTAATTGTAAAGTTCTTGGATTTTAACAGCATGGAACGCTGTTTGGTCTTAGACCTAGATGCGAAGTATGACCTCATCTTAGGCATGTCATGGCTAGAACGTCATGAGTCATCGATTGATTGGAGGTCGAAGACCTTAGGCGCAACGCGCAATGCTCCTGGTGGGGCTCTGGAGAGTCATGAACCCACCTCTGCTAGGAAGCAAAAAAAAGCTTTTGGCGCGGATATTGGACCGAGTCAGTCAATATGTTGGATGTCGGAACATCCGACTTCATAGACACTGTAAGTGTTGAGGACAATAGTCTTGGGCGAGGCCCAATGACTTTCGATAGTGTGGTTGAGAACCCACTAGATAGCACATATGACATGTGTCATGAGAATGATGTTACATCATTAAACACCGCGAGTGGTGTTGGTGGCTGCAAGCCAAGATGTCAGGACATGAGTCCAAGTGACATGGGTGACGAGGAACTGACCCTGGAGGGTCATTTGACGTCACAAATGGATGTTGTATTTGAGGACAACGAGGTGCGAGCACCTCATGACGAAGCATTGACCCAAGAGGGTGGGGTGCAGTCCGTAAACGAAGTGGTCTTTGATCTTGAGATGTGTACACCTGTAGACGCTGATGCGTCAGATGCTGAGAGCATCATGAGTAGCGATAATGATATCGTGAGTGACGGTGATAGCGAACAGATATATACACTCGTCAATGGTTTGACTGGGTATGTTGAAGAGCCGGTGGCTCTCTCAGCAAGACCCGCAGTAAGTGCTCTGTTAGATCTGGACGAGTTGTCCTTTGCCGAGTTTGACAGTGCCTTATAGGCAGGCGACATCGCCGAAGTGGTCGTTATACGACCTGAGGAGGAGTTGAACTCCTCAACGCTTTTGGATAAAGCAGTTCTTGAAGATACCAAGAAGGCTCTGAATGCGCATAGCGGATCACAGATCCTGAAGAACCCTTCGGATCCTTACTTTCCTTTGTTGAAGGAATATGGAGATGTTGTCTCCAAAGAACCTCCGACGAGTTTACCTACCGATAGAGGTGTGCGTCATGAGATTGACTTGGTTCCAGGAACCAAATGCTGTGTGACACGACAGTGACCGCTGTCACGAAAACAATGTGACGTCATTGACGAGTTCTTTCGTGCAAAGTACGCGGCTGGCATGGTGCGTGAGAGTAAGTCTCCTCACTCTACGCTCACGTTTTGTGTGAGGAAGTCTAATGGGAAGTGGCGAATAGTGCATGCTTACAATAAGCTGAATGCAGCCACTATCCCGGCTCAAACACCGATTCCTCGCAAGGATGTTCTCACAACAATATGGTGGGATGTACGATGTACAGTGTCCTCGACTTAGTCGATGGATATTATCAACTGCTCATGCGAGCTGGTGATATCCCGCTGACAGCGGTCAGTACTCCGAGCGATATGCTCGGGGAGTGGTTAGTGATGCCTCAAGGGC